GCGCGGGCTGGGCCGAGGGGCTGGGGACCGACGCCAGGGCGGCGGGGGGAGCGGACTGGCGCTGTGGCGTGGACGGAGCACTCCTGAGGGCAGGTAAGATACGTCCTGAGCTTCGAGCGCACCTGCCCATAAGCGGGGCTGGAGACAGCGTGGAAGCTCCCGGAAAGCGCAGGCCTCGCCACCCTCCAGTAGAGGCGATGAGCCTTGCGTCACCTCCTTGGTTCCCTCCCACCCGGTTGGGGCAGATGCCTGCTCCTACCATGCCTATCCTCTCATTCTTCTAGAACCTCAGCCCCAACGTCCTGTCTGGTGAGGGTCTCAAGGCCGTGAGGCCTGGACCCTGCTTCTGGCCGAGTTTCCAGCAAAAGGATGGCAGTGGTAGAAGCCATCTTGATACCAGTAGGGACCCTCGTGAGGGTACCATGGTTACTTGGGCCAAGACTTCTCAGCCATCAGTATTCTCACGCACTGTGACTGGATCCTGGGGGTTTTCTGCGCCTTGGTGGTGGTGGGGGAGGATAGGCGTCTCCAAACCCTCTTGGGGTGGGCAGGTACTGACCTGTCCTGTCGTCGACCCTCGTAGGACATGGGGTGAGTGCCCGGCTTGCTGTTGGTTAGTGCCTCCCAGATGGTGACCTGGGAGCGGGAGGGGAGTGGGTCATTTAGTTGTGGCGGCACTGCAGTCCGGTGGCCCAGTGCGGGCGCGGAGACGCACCTGGTCATACTCACTGCCCGCCTCAAGCAGGCTCTGCTGGATGGCGAACTGCAGTAGGTCGTCATCGTCGTCGCGGGTGGCTGCCTCTCGCTGGCCGCCCAGCACGCTGTAGCCCCGTGGGGCCTCGAACAACGCGGGGGAGATCTCGCAGCCGCGGCACGAGGCTGGGGGCGCCCAGCTGGGGATCAGAGTGGACCCGACCCCCCCATCCCCCCCACTCCCAGGGAAGCGCTGGATAGAGAGGGGAAGTGAGGGTGGCCTCAGGGCGGTGCCAGGTCTCACTTGTGGAACTGGAGCTGCTGATGCTGGAGGAGTCGCTGCCCGGGGAAGGAGTCTCGCTGCTGGGGCTGCCTCGCACCAACGGCACCGGCTCATCACAGCCATTGAGGTTTCCAAAGGTGATGCGTGCATTGAGGATGTGGAAGATCGGGATTTCTGAGGATGAGAAAACCATCAGGCGCCACCACCCATTCCCTCACACCTTAGGTACCCCTTTCTTCGCCTCATCTAAGCCCCACCATCCCAACAGCAGATGAGGGGAAATGGGGGTGGGGCCTCACCAATCTTGACTGGGAAGCCGGGAGGCAGGCGCAGGGTAATGAAATCCCGGAGCTTGGCGAAAAGTGCATTGCTGACAGCCATGAGGTCAATGATGGGGGCCACCTGCTCACACAGGGACAGGGGATGCTCCTCACACAGCCACAGCTTGGCCTTGAACCTGCCCCCCAGATCCCAAGGGGTGAGGGACACTGTAGAAGCCATGGCCTCCCAGCACCTTCTGGAGCCCCTGCCCTCCGAGCCCTGCCCACCCCTCCCCAGCACCAACAGGGGCCTCACTTCTGTGTCTTGGTGGTCAGTTCCATGGGGCGGCCCATGTCACGGTTGCCAAGCTCAAAGTTGGGGTTGAAGTACTCTTCTGCGGTGATGGCAGTGGGGTTGGCTTGGCTCAGAGTCTGAGTGATCAGGGTCTGTACCACATGGGGAGGGGCCCGTAAGTCCTTCTCAGTCCCTGATGCCAAGCCAGCCACTTGGTATTACAGGCCCCGGAACTGTCCCCCCACCACTGTGGAACTGACAGGGCCTTGGGCATTGTGAAAAGAATGGAGGTCCACACAAGCTGTGCTAAGGGTACCTCCCAGACCTCCTCTTGATCCCCATCCACACCCTTCCACACAGGGGTATCCCTGGCACACACTCACCCCGTTTTGGGGGCCCCCATGCTGCTCAGCAATTCCCAGGAAGGACTGCAGAGGTGTTTTACAGCCTACAAGAAACATGGCATCTCAGAGGACACTGTGGCCCTCAGAAGTGACAGCACCCAAGACCCCGGAGGGAAGGAGGATTGCTCACCCACACCACATGCCCAGGCACCTTCACCCGAAGGTGACTGAGGACTGCAAAGGGCAGGGGCAGGATTACCATAAGCATAGCTGGAATTAAAGTAAGCCTAGGGCTCAGGAGAAACTTCTGAAAATGTCACTCTCCAGGTTGGTGACACTGGCCAAAAAATACCTGCCTTTGGTGAGCAGTTTTGGGGTATGCATGTGTACGTGTGTGTTTTCCTTCAGGCACTTCCATATTACCTTTATTTTGTCCCCCTGTGAGTTGGGAATTATGTCTTTCCACTTTAGACAGCCCAGAGAGTAAGGTGTAGTATCAGTGGGCACAGAGAGAGATTCAGTGGCAGGGCCCCTGACTTTCTGCCCAGGGTTATGTCCCACTAGACTAGAATGGTCAATAGACTGCATCCATGATGTCCCTCCACACACACAAATCCAATGCGGGTGTTACTAATCAGTTGTAGTATTCCTTCCCCTTTAGCCCAAATGTGGCCTTAGCATCTTCTTAGCAGCACTCTAAGCAGCCATTACCAATCATTAGGATTTGGCTCTTGAATTGAAACCTGTTTGCCTGAATAAGCTATCTTGGCTTCTGCTAGGATGTCAGAGGAAGTACTGATGGAGGAATACAAGTGGGAGCTGGTTCCTCACACCTTCCCACACCTTCCCATCGACTTCTGCCCCATTACCTTTGACCTTGCCCTTGTGCTGTTCTGAAAGATGCTCTGTCCGTGTCCGGGTGATGAGCTCCACATTGGATGCCCCATATACCTGGAGACAGATGAAGAAAGGACTCAAAGCTTTGGTACCCCTACCCTTGTCCCCAAGGGCATTAGAAACACTTTCTGTAAGGAAGGTGCTGAGGGAAGGGGGTGCTGTTTGTTCCAATCTCCAGGCCTTTGGGCAAACAAGTATATGAAGTTGTTCATTCATTCTCTTATTCATTCAACAAACATTTTGTGAGGAGACTTTATGTGCCAGGCACTGAGGCAGGCATCAGGGACATACTGCTGAACAAGCATGGCCAGACTTGATCCCTGCCCTCTTGAGGCTCACAATCTAGCTGAAGAGACAAGAAGAAAGTGGAGAGTAAGAACACAATGTGACACATGTTCTAGTAGGGGGAGCATAGAGCTGTGGGTACAAAAAGCAGAGGCCATAACCCAGCCTACGAATCAGGGAAGGCTTCCAGGAGGAAACAACAACACAGAACCTTGCAGCATTTATTAGCCCCTTCACTCATTACTGGCCCCAGATGGCCCCATATGGGTGATGTAGGGATCCCAGAGTGACCAACAGTCTTCTTAAGGGTGAAGACCTGGCTCTGGAGTCAGGCAGCCAGGGCCTGAACCTCCACCCTAGGCAATCTTGTACTAGCTATGTAACCTCTTCAAGCCTCCATTTCCTCATCATAAAATGGGCTGATATCCTACTTTATAGAGTTGTTGTGAAGGTTAAATGGGACACCGTGGAAAGGACTCAATAAACATCTGTAAAATGGGAATAATAATAGCAC